GGGGGGGTTTACTCTTTTTCAGTCAATGAATGACCTTAGCTTTCTTTTCTTAATTCATTGCATCCTTGTTATTTTTTGTCTCCGTAATTCATTCATCCTTTGTCATTCTTTCACTCTAATTCTTCCATTAACCTTTATTATTTACTTAATTCATTTCTTTCATTTGTCTTTTTTATCTCCTCTACTCTATTTCTTCCATTAACCTTCATTATTTTCGCAAAACCATCTATTCCATTTTCTTTTCCATCTAATCAACTTCATTTCTTCCATTCATTTTCTTCATCTTATCAAATTCATTTCTTCGCCTCGAATCTATTTCTTCCATTTATCATCTTTATTATATTTTAAATTTTAATCCTCGGGTTCTGGTTTCTGCTCAATTTAATTTCATCCCTCATCTTCTGAATTCTATTTTCAGCTAATCAGCTGCATCTCCTCAATTCAATTTTATTTCTCATCTTCCTAAATCTATATTATATTTTTCTATCTTCTCAATTCAATTTTATTTCTCATATTCCTAAATCTATATTACTATTTTTCTTTTTCTTCTTAATTCAATTTTATTTCTCATCTTCCAAAATCTATAAAACTATTTTTCTTTTTCTTCTTAATCAAATTTTATTTCTTATCTTCCTAAATCTATATTATTATTCTTCTATATCTTCCTAAATCTATATTACTATTGTTTTTTATCTTCTTAAATCTATATTACTATTCTTCTATATCTTCTTAATTCAATTTTATTTCTAATCTTCCTAAATCTAAATTACTATTCTTCTATATCATCCTAAATCTATATAACTATTTTTCTTTTTCTTCTTAATTCAATTTTATTTCTCATCTTCCTAAATCTATATAACTATTTTTCTTTTTCTTCTTAATAAAATTTTATTTCTTATCTTCCTAAATCTATATTACTATTTTCTTTATAATCTCAATTCTTCGCTCTATCCTTCATACAATTTCATTTTGTTTATTATTTAAAGGAACTGTTGGCGTATTAAGAAGTGACCCTTTATCTAATGTGAAAACAGGCCCCATATAATCACGCTATCATGAAAACCCTTTTGTGAGAAACAGACAGGTAGATATCCTCGTTTTTTGTGTAAAAAAGATAAATTCCCTTTGAAACCACGGCAAAAATTATCGATTTAAAAGAAATTCTTAATAGTTTTTTGAACTGAGTTTTTTTTCGCAAATTTAAATGTTCCAATTTCTATAACTTTGAATCCTGAGAGTGTAAACCTGTGATATTTCAAACATAGCTTAATTGATCGAACAGAATTCATAGTTTGAAATATTTAAGATCTACGACATTAAGTTGTGAGGATATAGGGTTTAGAAAACCTGAGTTTGCTACAAAAACTCCATTCCTTTAGTTCCATTTAATATATTTTCTTCATTTTCTTTTTTGCATTTTTTCATATTGTCTTTTCTATTTTATTCTTTTTATCTTTTTAAAACATATCTGTGCTATTTTTTCTTTTTGGTTATTATTTTAATCTCTATCAATTTTATTCCATTTTGTCCATATTTTTTTAAGTTTTACCTCTTACTTTTTTTATGTCCTAAAGAGAGAAATTCATTTCTCTGGACTTCAAAAACTTTGTTTTTTTGTTCTTATATCTTTGAACCTGATGTCACAACCTATTATTTTTCAAGCAAAGCTGGGTTTCTTAACTAGTTGTAAATAACCTATTAAGATTTTAAATCATTAGGATGCAAAAATGTAGGAATCAGAAAAGTAGTGTTTGTTCAGTTCCTTTATTTAAAAATAGAATTCTCATTGAAAATATCCATGATTTTCGACTGAAAAATAAATAAACTTAAGTTCAATGTTTATAATACAGTAATGTTAAAGTATACGTGTATTGTATACCGCTGAAATCCATATATCCCATCTTCCCGTCGTCCAACCATACAAACCTCGCTTAGGCAGTCATTTTAACTCAAGCTAATCCCGGCCAATAGAAACACAGGGGGCGGAGCTTTGTAACCAGACCCCGCCTTTTTTCAATCGAGGATGCATTAACTTGATTTCTTTATAATTAATTTCTTTTTTTAAAGAAATAATCATTAAAGAATTAATTCAGAACATTTTTCAAAGTTTTTCAAAACGGTTTAATTGTTCTGGTCTATTTTCTTACAAGGCAGTTTCTGAATATTACTCCGCAAGGCACGTGCGCTGAAGATGAGTCACGCCGCGCGGTAACTTCAACGCGCGGAGGGATCGCGTCCGAACGAGTGTTCCCAACCCAGTCCTGGGTTAGTGCCTCGAATGAAATTTTGGTGATGTGTCCTAAATTTGGAGCTAAGGATTGTTGCCTCCATGTTTGGGTATAATGTTATATAATATGTTGGGTTTGCCCCAAAAGGATTGAAATGAATCAGGTTGAGTCCTGGCATAGTTTCCTGTCATTCTCCAGGATAAACTGCACAAAAACAAACAATTAGAATTTCAAGGGGTTTGCATGACAGTTGTGTAATTTTAATATTTGACTTAGGAAATTATGTAAATGTTTCAACTTGCTAATATTCACAAGAGTTTATTTGCACAATTATAAGTCAATAGGATCAAACAAGAATTAATTGAAAGATGAAGTTTATCCTTTTGAATTAATGTTCAATGTTTTGTATCACCATTTTTAAAAAACATATATTAGTGAAAACAAAAAATGTGTAACGTTTGCAATTTGAATTCTTCAACTTTTCTGAAAAATGATTTTTCCCTATTTACTACTTTACTTTTAAACTTCAAGGACTTGAAATAGAACAGTTTCAAACGTTTTCTCTCTGCAAGGGAAGTTCAAGTGAACCTACATGTAAAGTGGTAATGTCCGATTCACAACGGTAACATTAAAACCTTTTTCTGATCAATAATAAAGAAGATACTGTCGTTTTTCTAGTTTTCATTCTTATAATAGTTTTTGTAGAGAAATCACAATTGAAAATAATCATTTTTAAAGGAATTGAGTTTTTGCCACAAACTCTGATTTTCTAATCACTATATCTTTGGAACCAAATTTTGCATACCTTAGATATTTTAAAACTAAGAATTATGTTAGATCAAATCTGAGTTTGAAATATCAAAGGTTTACAACATCGAGTTCTAAAGATATTGTGGTTTAAATATTTGATTTTGTTCCAAAGACTCAATTCCTTTATAAACGTTTATATCTAATTCATACTTGATCAGACAAAGCTTTCGAGGGTACCGTTGTAAATCGGGCATTGCCATCTTTGCATGGAGGGTCACTTGAAATTACGTTGAAACTCATCTACGCTGGTGGTGATAGTACCTACTACCTAGCTATAATTTGAGCCTTCATATATTTTTGGTTCTTAATTAAAAAAACTGCAATTTTGCCTTCGCATAAATATTACTAATATTTCAAGCCATTTCAGAAGTGAAATTGTGATCTCAACAAATTACATTTCGGCATCTGATGAGAAGTGAAACGAATTGAATTGTTGTGAAGGAAAATTTCGAGGAAAAAATCAAATCCGCGAGAAAAGTCGAAATTAAAAAATCCGCAAACATAATTAGCTAATGTTTGGTTTGGCTCGATGGTTAGTGCGGAACTTGGAGACATGATGCAAACAGCTGGCTCACAGGACCCTTTATCTCAGGTCCCCCCAAAAAAAATTTAAAAAATTGATACTAAAAAGGGTTTTTAAACATCGTAAAGTGAGAATATATTTAAAGAATTATTCTTTAAGGAGTCTTATTTGCGAAGCATGGCTGCCTATCCGCATCCTGATTCCCTACCCTTACCCCCACACCATCACTCGCAAATGCAGGTAGAGTTTTAAAGTTGAACAGTATTTTTTTGACAATTTTTCTTAAATCGTAAAATTTAGGAATTCCATTAAAAAAAATAAAGTTTAGATTTTGTAATTACTGACTTAATTTCTAGCCTCTATAATGAGATTCGGAGGCAAAATACTTTTCCAAAAAAGGGCATAAATTTATATATATATAGGTTGGCTATTCACGTTTTAAATTATACATATATATTATAGCCTGAAGCAAGACTAGTCGGCAAAACTCTTAGCGCGAGTTAAAATTATAATTTTCGCACTTTCCAGGATTTTTCAGTCATCATTTAAAAGTTGAATAATAAAATATCATCAAAAGTACGATTAGGCCGCCTGAAGGCTTAGTAAGATACAGCCCTGAGGCGGATAAAGGCCTACTTGAGTTACTCTAATGGAAAACGTGAATATGCCTTAATCAAGCTATTATTTATCCACGCTGAAAGCTTTAAAACAAGCCTGGTGCCAAATTTTCCCACGGATCGGGGCATATTCGTTTATTTGGAACACGTTATTTTATGCATCTTGTATATTTTTCATGATCATACAGTGCTGATCAAAAACTTAATGCTTTTAATAGAGTTTTGCTCAATTAACTTTGATAACTATACAAAATTTTGCGGATTTTATTGCTAGGTTTCAAACATCTTTTAAAATCAAAATTTTTGGACGCATTAAAAAAAAAATTCGAATGATCAGAGCTGGGAACTTTTAAATGGTGGATCTCGAGATTAAATAATGCTTGTTCTCCTCTTGGTATTAATCTCCAGATTAATTAACCAATCGGGATTAAGGATATCTCGTTCTAAAGTTTTCAGCTCTGAATCCTTCATTTGGGTGTCCTGAGTTGTAACAAACAACATCAAAAATTTAGCCCTTTCAAATCCGCCGTTTTTACATTGATGGGATACAAACACCAGCCAAATTAAAAAAGGATTTTTTAAAAATAAAAAGACTAATCGGCGTTCTATGCAAAGGTAAATTAACAAATGACCATTGTAACAAGTTGTTGTCGGCATTTGTTAGATGTCAAAAATTTAAAACTTCCATAAGAAAATCTTGAAATAAATGCGAATATAAACTTTACCGAGATTCTTTAAATTACATTCTTCAAACTCAATCAAGCATAAAGATACAAAAAAAACAATATATTTTAATAATTGACTTACAAATTCTGAAGTTGATAAATAACTTTAGTAATAAATGCTTAATTTACAAACAGTGTTGCCCCCCAAAAAATCTTACTTTGAAGACGACCCGAAATTCTTAAAAATGGTAATAAATATTATGCAAAAGAATTTGGAGTATTAAAAGATCGCTAAAGTCCTAATATTTGAAATTTAAAATTTTCTTTGATATAGAATCTTTTTCTAAGTAAATCTATATTTCCTTTTACATTGATATGAAAAATATGCCCAACTTTATTTTATGATAAATAGTTTAAATCCACCGGCTCTATAAGTTGCAAAGATATAAGGTTTTTATAAATAGAGATAGAGGCGAGAAATAAATAATTTGTCTTATTCATAAACCCTCATTCAATTTAACTGAAAATAGAAAACACGAATAAAATAAAAATTGACAATGTATACTTGCAGGTGTATGATGACGAAGTAGATGAAAAGTCAGGTTCTAATATGAATATGGGACCTAGAACCTGGTATCAAGTTCCTCCTAGAGATCTCAGATATCCAGAGGTAACTTAGACCTAGACCTAGACCAAAACCTAGATCTAGACCTAGACCTAGACCAAAACCTAGATCTAGACCTAGACCTAGACCTAGACCTAGACCTAGACCAAAACCTAGACCTAGACCTAGACCTAGACCTAGACCTAGACCTAGCCCTAGACCAAAACCTAGACCTAGACCTAGACCTAGACCTAGACCAAAACCTAGACCTAGACCTAGACCTAGACCAGGTTTTAATTGTAAAAATTGGTAAACTTAGTATTTTACTTAATTATATTTGATTAAGCAGTGATGAATTAACATGATTAGCCAGAGTCCACAATAATATTAGTATCGCCAGTATATATTAAGTTTATTATATCAGGACCCCCACCTCCAGTATGGATTACCACCTATGGTTGGAAACATGAAGAGAAGTGTAGACGCTGGACAGATGGATATGATGGATGGACAAGATAGTTCAGACGAAGATAGTCAGGTTTGTTATAACTTATGCAGTGGTGGTCAGGTTTATTAGACTGTGATAGTCAGATTCATTATACAGTGGTAGTCATGTTCAAAAGACAGTAATCGTCCGGTGCATTAGACTGTGATAGTCAGGTTCATTATACAGTGATAGTTAGATACATTAGACATTAAACAGTGTATGTTTATACAAAGGTAATCAGGTATATTATATGGTTCAGACGTAGATAGTCAATTTCATTAAACAGTTTATACCAATACAGTCAAGTCCATTAGACAAAGCAGATGAAGACAGAGTTAGGTTCCTTCATTTCCCTGAAGATAGTTAGGTTCCTTACTATTAGATGAAGAAAGACAAGTTCTTCAGTTCATACAAAGATAGTCATGTTCATTCCAAAGTTCTGATGAATATTTAGTCAGAATTATCAGACAGTTCAAATGAAGATAGTTAGGTTTATTATACAGTTCAAATAAATAGAGTCAGGTTCATTAAACAGTTCAAATGAAGATAGTTAGGTTCATTAAACAGTTCAAATGAAGATAGTTAGGTTCATTAGAAAATTCAAATGAAGATTTCAGATTCATAATACAGATCAGGCAGAGAAGCTCTGATTACATTTCTCAAATATTTATAATTTAAAATTTTTTATTTAATTTAATCGTCATTTTGATATAAATTCTAGGATACTAAACCAATGATCCATCCACATGATGAATATCCTACAGGAGGTGCTGGACGGGGGAAACCAGCTCCTTCAACTCCTTTACAGGTATACATCTTCAACCAGGGGAAATAAAAACAATAGATACAATTTTCAATTTCTCCAATCTTTCCCCCCCCCCCCCCTCCAGAACACATTTACAACAAATGAATTGAGTTTATGCCACAAACTTAAATTTTCTAATCCCTGTATCTTTGCAACTTTGGCTAGATTATTTGATCTGAAATAATTCATAATTTGATATAATTTTCAAAGCTGTTTGACATGGGGTTACCAATATATAGGATTTAGAAAATCAGAGTTTGTGGCACAGACTCAATTCCTTTGTCATCTCCCAATGCATGAATCTAAATATTAAAAATATTAAATTAATTTCCAGATGACCCACTGTCTACCAATACTGATTTTAACATTCAAAATGAAATCACCTTATACATATTAGGAATCGAGAAAACCTCGGCTAATGTCTTGCTTTTTAGAACCATAAAGAAATTGACGATAAAAAAAACTTTATGCTGACAATATTTAGATTAAAAAAATATCTCCACGGTTATTTCTTAATTTATAAATTAAAAGAAATAAATGTCAATCGTTTAAGGCATCTGGAAAGAAAGGCCCACTTAACATTAGATTTACAATTTCTATGCAATGTACAACTAAACTAATGATTTTCAGGGAAAGAAGACAAAAGGCAGAGTTAAAATAAAAATGGAGTTTATCGATAATAAATTGAGAAGATACACAACATTTTCGAAACGAAAAACTGGAATTATGAAAAAGGTAATTTTTTTTGTGATCACGCTTTCTACCAAATAAGCAACCCAAGCATTCAGTTGCATTTAAAACTGTGTTTAGTGATGATTACTGTTTAATAATATCATTTTTGTCTGACCCCTTAAAAAACACTTTTTCTAAATACACCAAGGTTACTTTTAATTGAAGAAAAGCTTTCATTGAACTTATCAAGAAACTAACCTTTCCTAAGAAATTAGAATAAGATGTTGGGAAACCAAATTTTCATAATTTTGAATATTTCAAAGAAAGTTATAGTAATTTTGAAATTTTGTGTAATTCAATATTTCAACATATTTCCAAATTGGCTGTGAAAATAAAAAAATGGTCACTAAATTATTATAAATTTAAAAATGGTTATAAAAATATAATGAATAAAAGAATGGTCATAAAATTATAATAAATAAAAAAATGATTATAAAATGATTATGAATTTTATATTATAATTAATTATTAATTATGGCTATAAAATCACAATGAATAAATAAATGGTTATAAAATTATAATGAATATAAAAATAGTTATGAGATTTTAATGAATAAAAAACCGCCAACTAACAAACAAACAAGAACCCTGGCAAAGAACCTCCCTGCATACAAAACAAGTTTATAAAGAAGATGTATGCTATGTAGAACTAGAAATAAAATTTGAAACATTAATTTACAATTACAAGTCAGAAAAAGGTAAACACGGAAAATGTTTTCGTTTCCCATTTTTATTTGTAATTCATTTTTTTTCAATGGGATATTTGTTTTATCAAATATAATGGATCTATGGAGTGCATATCCAGCCCTGAATTGTTGAACCCCTTCCCTTCACCTTCACACTTTTTATTCGGATTCCAATTCGTGGAAAAACCCGACTCCATGAGAAAATCTTAAAAGCAAATCTCTAACAGGACATTTTAATTCTTCGTACAGGTTTATTTAGAACAAACAAATAGACGAAGGGACAGGTATCATAGATAAGTTTAGAACTGACAACCCTGTACAGAAAAGAACTTGTTTCAAATATTTTAAAACAGGATACAAAACAGTAATGGCCAAAAAAATAAAACAAAAATAAAAAAATAAAACCTAACCTAACCTAACATATTGCATATTCAAAATCTTTCTTTTAATATTTAATCATCACAACAGCAAAATTAATATAATGATATAACTGTAATTTATGATAGTAAATAATTGGTAAAAAAATATTAGAATATTTTCTGATTTTTCTTCTTGGGTTAAAAAAAAGGAAGATTATAAAAGAATGGCAGGTTTTTCTTTAAAAATTATTAAAAAACGTTAAAAGTATTGGGGGGGGGGGTTATTTACTGTGAAAACGGCCCCTGTTAAGAATATGCAGCAGCGGCCCCAGTGAACTATTGAACTAGTAAACCTTTAGTTTGTATTTAAATATATTTAACTAGAGAACAATGGATAGTTTTACCAGAGGGTTTATTACACTTTATTTATAACATATAACAACAGTTAAACTTCTTATCTCTACCCCCTCCTCAGACACCCCCATTCTTCTTTTTCCCAGGCTCCCTTTACCAGCTTCTGAACTTTTTATCTTTCATATTGCGATTTTTAAATATCCCTGCTGTCTCATCATTTTTATTTTTCTCCCACAAATAAACCATTAACCCTGTCTTGCCATTTATGTGCTCCATTCATGCACAAAGAAAAATGTTTAAATCTTATCGTTATTATGCTGAACCAGGGGAGCACATTTGTAAACAGCCTGAGCTATCTTGTAGCTCCCAGGCCACAGTATATTTAATATTGATTGTTGTTATTTTTAATTAGCATTTTTACGTATGTACACTGTAAAATTTGTGGCCTAATAAATGATTTGATTTGATTTGATTCTTTTACACCTCCTTAATTCTTAAAAAATTTAAATTTCAACTTACCCTCTGGCCTCTTTTTATAGAACTTCATGTCCGATTTGCCCAATGGTACCCATAAAACCTTTGTCTAATTGAGGAGGAATGAGACATTTTTTTCTTTTTCTTAGAAAAAAGAAGGTCTCTTCTCTTTAAAAGCCAACACATTTCCAAATTGTTATTCAGATGGAGGTTTAAAGGGTAGTATGCCGCTCTTGAAGTGAACTGTACAGTCTCTTTAAACTAGAGAAGAACGCCCCCTTATTACTGACTAGTTCATTAAAGCTGATTATATTTGCAGATATTTCTCTAGGTTCTCATTAAACCAGTGTGAATTACGGAATATAGGGCGGACCCCACCCTAGTCTCACTCAGGGGCTTAAATTTACAAAACCAGGGGGGGAGGCAGGCTTTAATATTGGGTGGAGCAAACCCTAACCATACTCAGGGGCTTCAAACCTTTACAAACCAGGTTTTGAGGGGGGGGGGGTGGTGGGGTTTAATGAGTTGTACTTATGGAAATATCTTAGTATTTTACAGGTTAGTTATGAAAGGTTAGTATTGTTTCTACAGCCTTCAAACACCCCTTAATATTGTTTATTAAAGGATCCAGAATACATAAAATACAAAATACATAAAAACAATAGATTCCTAAAATGGGGTTGCTTACTATGGTCTATATTGGTATATAATAAACAATATAAGTCCAACTTTTCATATTTTTATACCAGGTGTGGGCGAAGTACAGTATAATAAATATAAAGAGTTTAATATATCCCATTTGTTTATATGGGATATATATATATATATATCTATATACAAAAATACTTAACTTTATTGCCATATTTGTTTAACAATTTATAGAACAAAAACTTAAGAATAAAAAAACGTTAATCAAGTGAAATTAAAATCTAGGAAGCGATATAAACAGTTAGAAAGTGTATGAGCAATGTGTATAAAACTGTAGTTTAAATTCCTAGTAGACCTCTGTGTATACTAGTAACAGTCAATAAATTCAGAACCCATTGATTTATTTAGTTTAATCAACATACTTATACACTTACACTTACACTTACACTTACACTTACACTTAAACTTATACTTACATTTACACTTACACTTAAACTTACACTTACACTTACACTTACACTTACACTTACACTTACACTTACACTTACACTTACACTTACACTTAAACTTACACTTAAACTTACACTTACACTTACATTTACACTTAAACTTACACTGTGCAATGTTGGGCAATTTTTCGGAAATTTGTTGTGAGATAGTAGGATAAGAGGTTGTGGTTTAAGCAGTGTAAGCAGTATAAGTTGGGTAAGTAGGATAAGAGGTTTTGTTGTGGTGTAAGCAACTATAAGTAGGATAAGTAGGATAAGAGGTTGCGGTGTAAGCAGTGTAAGCAGTATAAGTAGGATAAGAGGTTGCGGTGTAAGCAATGTAAGCAGTATAAGTAGGATAATAGGTTGTGTTGTGGTGTACGTGTAAGCAACTATAGCAGGATAAGTAGAATTAGAGGTTGTGGTATAAGCAACTATAAGCAGTATAAGTAAAATAAGATGTTGTGGTGTAAATAACTATAAGCAGGATAAGTAGAATAATAGGTTGTGGTGTAAGCAACTTTAAGCAGTATAAGTAGAATAAGAGGTTGTGGTGTAAGCAACTATAAGCAGTTTAAGTAGAATAAGAGGTTGTGGTATAAGCAACTATAAGCAGCATAAGTAGAATAAGAGGTTGTGGTGAAAGCAGTTATAAGCAGCATGAGCAGTACAAGAGGTTGTGTTGTAAGCAACTATAAGCAGTACAAGAGGTTGTGGTGTATAAGCAGTTATAAGTAGAATAAGAGGTTGTGGTGTAAGCAACTATAAGCAGGATACGTAAGATAAGAGGTTGTAATATAAGCAACTATAAGCAGTATATACGTAAGATAAGAAGGTAGAACATAAAAATTCTTCTCGCCCTGGCATCCCCCACTGTTTGTATAATCAATTTTATTACAATTTAACTATACACACAAGACCACGTGCTCACTGCTCATATGCNCCTTTCTACCTACTTACTTACCTACCTACCTACCTTTCTACCTACTTACTTACCTACCTACCTTTCTACCTACTTACTTACCTACCTACCTACCTTTTTACCTACTTACTTACCTACCTACCTATTCTAGGCGTATGAGCTTTCTACGTTGACCGGAACCCAAGTGATGCTACTGGTAGCTAGTGAGACGGGTCATGTGTATACCTTTGCAACAAGAAAACTTCAGCCAATGATAACTTCAGATACTGGCAAAGCCCTGATACAGGTAATTATTACCAATGAAAGTAAACATTCGGAAAGGTGAGTTATTGCCAATGAGAGTAAAAATAAGGAAAGGTGAGTTATTGCCAATGAGAGTAAAAATAAGGAAAGGTGCGTTATTACCAATTTGAGTAAAAGTAAGGAGAGTTCAGTAGGATTATCAACATTTTACTTTGATTTAATGGGCCAGCTCATGAAACTAGTTCATTGTAACAAGGATCGATACACTTTGATAGTTTACGATAAAATTAGTGTATTAGGCTGCCTTTGAAATATAACTGAAAACTAGTGTTTAGGCTGCCCATGTAATATAACTGAAAACAAGTGTTTAGCCTGCCCATGTAATATAAATGAAAACTAGTGCTTAGGCTGCCCATGTAATATAACTGAAAACTAGTGTTTAGGCTGCCCATGTAATATAACTGAAAACTAGTGTTTAGGCTGCCCATGTAATATAACTGAAAACTAGTGTTTAGGCTGCCCATGTAATATAACTGAAAACTAGTGTTTAGGCTGCCCATGTAATATAACTGAAAACTGGTGTTTAATCAGCACAAGTAATATAACTGAAAACTAGGGTTTAGGCTGCCCTTGTAATATAACTGAAAACTAATGTTTAGGCTGCCCATGTAGCATAACTGAAAACTAATGTTTAGGCTGCCCATGTAATATAACTGAAAAGTAGGGTTTAGGCTGCCCTTGTAATATAACTGAAACTAGTGTTTAATCAGCATATGTAATATAACTGAAAACTAGTTTTTTGGCTGCTCATGTAATATAACTGAAAACTAGTGTTTAGGTTGTCCATGTAATATAACTGAAAACTAGTGTTTACGATACCCTTGTAATATAACTGAAAACTAGTGTTTAGGCTACCCATGTAATATAACTAAAAACTAATGTTTAGGCTGCCCATGAAATATAACTGAAAACTAATGTTTAGGCTGCCTATGTAATTTAACTGAAAACTAGTTTTTAGGGTGCCCATTAAATATAACTGAAAACTAGTGTTTAGGCTTCCCATGTAACATAACTGAAAACTAATGTTTAGGCTGCCCATGTAATATAACTGAAAACTAGGGTTTAGGCTGCCCTTGTAATATAACTGAAAACTAGTGTTTAATCAGCACATGTAATATAACTGAAAACTAATGTTTAGGCTGCCCATGTAATATAACTGAAAACTAGGGTTTAGGCTGCCCTTGTAATATAACTGAAAACTAGTGTTTAATCAGCACATGTAATATAACTGAAAACTAGTGTTTAGGCTGCCCATGTAATATAACTGAAAACTAGTGTTTAATCAGCACATGTAATATTACTGAAAAACCAAAAACCGATATTTTCGACTCTTTAGCTCTATTAAACTTTTAACTTTTACTGAATTAAAACTACAGCTTGGAACAAGAAAACAGTGGAATAGTAGAAGACGACAGTTAGATTCATATTATTGTTTTAAAGACTTTACTGGTCTAACAAATAGCACACCAGGAGAGGAGGTACATATTTGTCAAAATGTCATCAGCGTTTTTTTAAGTTTAACCTTCTTAAACACTTCTCTTTTGAAAGCTATACTTTTTAAGTGGTCTTCAGATTGGTTATAATTGATTTTCCATATTTGCCTTGTTAAATGATACTTCATTAATTACCGGGTTGCGGGACCTTTCTAATCATAATTTGATTAATTATGGATATTAACACGATTTAAAAAGAGGGGGGGGGAGATAGTTATTAACTCTAGTACGTTTGGGGAAGGGGAGGAGGGGGGGGGGGTCGATCTCCAATTTATTGGTTTTGTAAATCAGATAGCTTTATTTAACTCAGTCCTCCAATTTAATCCATAAAAGTAGTTTCGTCGGACTTAATCGTTTTGTTCTAGTTCTTTAACCTGCAGATATTCATGTTCCCACCTTGTTCAGATAAATCGGAATGGGGGGGGGGGGGGGGGAGGAGGGTCATTTCAGCCATTGTTTCATGCCCCGTTAAATTTGTCTAAACTTAAAAGCACGGTCGATAAAATTGGTTTTGATCCTTCACTTTTAAAGAAAATGATGAGCTTATGAAGACTACTTTTGAATTTGATGCAGAACTATGTTCCATTGTAGTAATGTCGACTGCGTTTTAATTATTAAATTAATACTTATTATTCAATGTTTATACACGAGAAGAGACTGTGTTTTTGTAAAGTGCTGTATGCGCTTTTTAACGCTTAAACTGCACCAAATTATTCTTTAACAACCTAAGCGAAATTATAGTAAAACTTATTGAATAGTTTTCGAAGGATTTGAGTTCTTATTCAAAATTAATTTGTATTAATTTGTCTTAACTAAAAATTCAGCCACTGTTAATGCTGCGTTAAGGTCACTTACAAATTGATTGTTTTTAAATAATGTGTTTTCAAAAGAGCAAGTGTGAGTAGGGATGTTAACGTTTTCATTTTTCAGAAAAACGATCGTTTCGTTATGAAAACGACGACGAAAAATCGAAAACGATCGTTTTTTTAAAAAGTTCCTTTTTTTAAAAATGGTCGTTTTTAAAACGATCGTTTTTCAAAACTATCGTTTTCATAAAATTCGTCATTTCGTTAACAATCGTTAACGACGACCCTTCGTTAACGATCGTTAACGACGGACCTTCGTTAACGATCGTTAACGACAACCCTTCGTTAACGATCGTTAACATAATTGTCAATAAAATATTTTTTCATAAACAATCGAATAAAAAACGGTCGCAAATCGTTTTAATAAAAACGATCGTTTTCAAAAACGATCGCTATTCGTTTTCTAAAAGTTCAAAACGCGTGGGTCGTTTTTAAAAACGAACGTTTTTTTCCGAAAACGAAACAATCGTTTCTGAAAACGAAACAAAAAACGATCGTTTTCAAAAACAATTAACAACCCTAAGTGTGAGTTACGAGGTATTTGAAGGATAACAGGGGTTATGTAATTATGCAGTTTTGTACTTCAATTTTTTCTTTTTATGACAAATGATATCTGTTTTTTTATCATTAAAAAAGGGGACCTATTCAGTCCTGTATATACCGGGTTAAAAGAGTTTAAATCTTAAACAATGAAAGGAATTTAAAATTTACAAAATTCATTATTCAAACAGTTTTTATCAATTTTCACCCTACTTTCTCAAAACGTTAATTTATTTTAGATATCCATTCAATTATTTTGGCCAGTTGCGTTTTATAAAATCTATTTAAAATTCAGTGATGGTGATGGACCAAACTTCTGTAGTGTAAAAAAGTAGATGTTAGTTCCACATTTATTGAAAATATATTTCGGTCTGGGTTGACCCTCGTCAGTTCTTGAGATTGTTTCTGTAACAAAAATCTATGTTTTCCCACATTTTTTAACAATCTAAAAAAATAACAAGATAAAAAATCAAAAAAAGGACGCACAGCTCTTTTATGTCTGACTATCTTGCTTTGTAAAGGTTTATTCTTTTTAAACGTATTCCGAAATATTCCGTAATTTTCATCAGTATAATCACATGGTATAGACTATAGACCAATTTCCTAACCTTCACTATCTATTTAAATTCAAACTTGTAAATTAAAGAGTTTAACAGGGTGTATATTCGAAAATAAACAGCGCCCAACAGTGTGGATTTATTCTTAAAATTATAATGTCCAACAGAATATTTTTTGTAAACATTAAACAAGCAAACAGGGTGTAATTTCTTGAATTTAAACAACCGGAGAAGGGTTAACAGGGTGTATAATGTGCAAATTAAACATCAAAACAGGGTGTACATTTTGAAATTAAATAACTCTACAGGGTATATATTTTTGCCCCGCCCCCCTCAAAAAAGAGTGACGTAATGATAAATTTTTTTATTATGGGTTGAATTAATCATATAAATTAAATAAATATTTTTCTGCCATTTAGCTGAAAAAGTACGGGGTAGAGGGGGTGTTACTGTAAGTTAATTCCTATTTGAATTGAATGAGCAGATATTAATTTATTTAAATGCAATTCTGTAAATACTCGAGAAGATATTTAATTCTTCAAGGTTTATATCAGACCTTGGTAGAGGATATGCACATCTGGATGCATTTTCCTGTTGTAATTATTTATTCAATTATTATTAGAATTAGTCATAAAGGAATTGAGTCCTTGCCACAAATTTTGATTTTCTAATCCCTATATCTTTTGAACCCTATGTCGTAAACTTTTTTGTAAATTAGCAAAACATTTTATTATTTCTTTTGACATTTTAAATATGAAAAACACAAAATTCTAAAGAGTCCATTTTTAAACCAGTAAAGATACCTTTAATTAAATGGTCACACTAATATCTTATTTTGATAGTAAACATTAAACTTGTACCAAAAAAACAACCAAAAACTAAATATCTCTAAATATGTTGAGATCTCTGATGCTACATTCTTACATATATTTACGTGTAGATAAAAATACTAAGGGTTCTCCTTTTAAAGGGCGTATCCTTAGTTAGCATCTCTTTATACTCAACCTTTTAATTATCCTAACCAGCGGTACCTTTCTCAAATATAGATAGAAACCTTACTAGACATAAGAATAGGGTGTCCAATATTTAATAGAAAGAAACCTATACCACACAGTTGTACAGGGTGTCAAATACATTATAGACAGAAACCTATACCAGACAATTGTACAGGGTGTCCAACACAAAATTGATAGAAAACTAAACCAGACATTATATACAGGGCGTCTAATACATAATAGATGCCAGACTTTAGTACAGGGTGTCAAATATATATTTACCTTCCTCATATTATAGATAAAAGCATCTGAAGTTTGTATAGCTTGGCTCTTATATATTAAAAGATACAGTTTTTCTGGAATATTTCTTTGCATGTACTTTACAATATGTACAATGTACATAGTATTTGTGTAATTATGTACTGTTACTAGGTGTGTGTCCAGGACAATGAATATGACATGCATACACGAGTACAGGTACATAATTACACAATTACAGGTACATAATTACACGAGTACAGGTACATAATTACACAATTACAGTTACATAATTACACGAGTACAGGTACATAATTACACAATTACAGTTACATAATTACACGAGTACAGGTACATAATTACACAATTACAATTACATAATTACACGAGTACTGGTACATAATTACACAAGATCAGGTACATAATTATACAAGTAGGTAGGGATGTTAACGTTTTTTTATTTTTTGAAAAACGAAAAAAATCAAAAACTAAACGATCGTTTTTATAAAGCTCGTCGTTTCATTAACGATCCGTTAACGGCGATTAACGAACGTTAATGAAGAGAGGAGGAGAGAGGAAACCAATCTGAAGGGCATCGGTACTATCCTTAAGTAGTGTTAAAGAAAATATCAAGAAATTTTAGTTTTTAACTTCATGTAAGACAACATTCAATAAAGTTGCATGTAATTTTTCCCAAAAAGTTCGTTTTTTTTAAAATGACAGTTTTCATATAAAGTTTATCCATTCGTTAAAGAATGTTAACGAAAACCCTTCGTTAACATATTTATCAATGACAATTTGTTTTCTTCAAAAACTATCGTACAGGTACATAATAACATAAGTTCAGGTACATATTTACACGAGTACAGAAACATAATGACACAAGTACAGGTACATAATTACACGAGTACAGGTAAATAATTGCACAATTACAGGCATGCAATTACACGAGTACAGGTACTTAATAACACGAGTACGGGTACTTAATAACACGATCACAGGTACATAATTACACGATCACAGGTACATAATAACATTAGTACAGGTACATAATTACACAAGTACAAATACGAAACTACACGAATACACGTTAATAATTATGCAAGTAAAAGTAGTACAAGTTAAGGACAAATACATATTATACAAGTAAAGTTACATTACATTATTAAACAAAAGAATGACCATAATTACAAAAATTACAAGAACGGATACAAACTTATACAAAAATTACAAATTGCAGTGGTACAGATAAAAAAGCTTAAATAAACGTACAAAATAGGTCGTGATAAAGTACACAGTAACTCTTGTTCACTGTCCAGGTACTAGCCTGAATTAATTACATAATAAGTTACATAAACGTACATAATAGGTAATGTAAAAGAACATAGTTAATGATACCTAGGTATCTATTGATACATATGTAAGAAGGATGCGGAAATGTTAATATATTCTGTTGGGTAGTGAACAGTTGTCAGATTAATTCAGCTTTACAAGAACATCAATAGAAGAAAACATAATAGTATACAGTTCACTGAACATATACTTTATAATACATACAAAATACAAGTACAAAAACATGACAGTTTTAACAACAGATGTGCTACATGTACAGTACACAATGTAAAGTTTAAGAAATTGGGAAGAACCCTAATTGTATTATCTTATATTCCTGGTTAATGTCTAGTCATGTTTAATATATCTTGTAGTCATGTTCATCGTCTAATAATCTATACAAGGGGTCCCTAGAACAAATACTACGTGCCTAGTCATGCTCGCTGGTTAGCTCGGCTGATTAGGATTCAACCATGGTGGTCGCCACAGAGGATTCAATATTTCTAGAAATAAAATTTAAAGGGGGTAATTGTTAAGATAAAAAAGAGTGACGTAATGATAAATTTTTTTATTATGGGTTGAATTAATCATATAAATTAAATAAATATTTTTCTGCCATTTAGCTGAAAAAGTACTGTATACGTTTACTGTAAGGTCAATGGCAAAGATATAGTTCACCTAACCGTACTTAGTTCAACAACGTCTAACCGTACTTAGTTCAACAACGTCTAACCGTACTTAGTTCAACAACGTCTATCCCGTACTTAGTTCAACAACGCCTAACCGTACTTAGTTCAACAACGTCTAACCGTACTTAGTTCAACAACGTCTAACCGTACTTAGTTCAACAACGTCTAACCGTACTTAGTTCAACAACGTCTAACCGTACTTAGTTAATTATTAGTTCCGACCTTTGATTGTATTTGTAATGTCTTTAATAATGATCGTAATATTAAAAATGTGTTTTAAAAATAATTTTGTTTAGACATGCTTGAACTCCCCTGACCCGCCACCAATACCTGCCAGCTCGGCTGACCAGCGCATGTCAGCTACGGGATACGAGGAAACTGAACTTACTTACAATGTTAATGAAGACGAACAACAGAAGGTAGGAATAAAGAATCAGTGTGTTTTTCTATTTTTTTCTATTTTTAAGTTTTCTTCGTTTACAAAAGTTTCTCATTGTTTTCTTATTGTGTATTTGTTTTAGGTTCGTCAGATGATGTATTCCTCTCATTATTCTCATCCTCAACATTCTCATAATCTATTCTCTCCCTCACCCTCCCAGTATCCAGTATCCCACTCATACATCACCCCTCACCCAGCACCCTCCCCCTCACCCTCCCACCACCATCCATACGGAGTATCCCTCTCCCCAACCCTCTCCCACTCTCCTACTCATCATATCTCATCCCCCGGCCCTCCTTTTCATCATTCTCAACATCATTCTGTTAGATGAATTCATCCTGAAATATTTTAGATGATTCAACACCTCCATTTATTCCGTCTGAACCTCTTCTAAAATCCACCAACTTAAATCTAAAAAATCCACCAACTTGAATCTGAAAAATTCACCAACTGAGTCCCTCTCTCAGCTTCATTCAGAGGAATGATTTGATCATTCTAGTTTCGTGTTCAATGGTCATTGAACAACTTTCTTACCAGGCACAAGAAATAATCTTGGTTACCGAACATTACTGTAGCTGTGAACCTAACACTAAAACTTGCCCATTAGACAGATTAGACAGATAAGACAGATTTCATCTGTCTGTCAGTGAATTGATTCTTCAGAACCTGTTTGTCTATAGAAGCTTTTATTTCAAGACACAGTGCATTGCTAGATGCTTTGCTATTCTAGAACCTGTATATTACTATTTGTATACCGTACATGTCTAGAAACCAAGTGTACACACCCTTGTAGATATCGCACGTCTAGCTCTAGAGTGTCACTACCGTGCATGTCTAGAGAGGGTCTCTACCGTGCATGTCTAGATAAATTTACACATAAAGGTTGAAAGTGTAGATGAATCTATGATAAGGCTAGTTGAGGACTCGTGTCTCAGTCCCCACAAGATTGAGTGGAACAGTGGGATGGGGATACGGAAAAAATATTCCCCCCCCCCCCTCCTCCCTCCACCCCTCCTCCCTCCTTTCATGATTTGAATATTTAGTTTTAAAATATTATATAAGTACCACACTTTAAAACAGTTCAACCCCCCCCCCTCTACATCACATAGTTATGTCAATTCTCGTAAATCCTGGCTGTTGAATATATTGAAGCTTTAAACCTTCTTTATAAACCATACTTCAGACAGGCTTATTTAAATAGTAAGATATCCCCCTTCTATCTTACCCCCAGCAATCCACATACCCCTTCCCATGTATTATTCCCACTGTTATATCAGTATACAGTGGTCCTCAAAAAAAGTCGGAACTGAAGGCTAATATTAATCTGAAATTAGATGTGTCATCATGAATATCTCTTTCGATATATTACACATTTTTTGGGGACAATTGTATCCGTGATAATTCCACTAATGTATTATTAGGTGTTCCTTTCTTTGTAGATTTATTTATGTATTCCTATTGGGCCCAGTGTATATCCCGTCCTTTAAATACCACTTACTAAATCTGGCAGCCCATTAATAAAACAGTCCACGGCGCCATTTTTACACTTTTTACTCATCTACAGTTCGGAACTATGCGAAATTACACAGTGCTCCGGTTATTTTTAGAATTTTTAACTTTTTCATATAATTAGAGACTTGAGATGCCTAATTTGAAGCCTACTGAAACATGGTTCGCTTAACCTCAAGTTTTAGTAAATTTACCTTTTTTGAAAGATCACAAGAAGAGGGGGGGGAGGGAGGTAAACAGTCAATATAGTTTCAACAATTTTTTATGTTAATGTTTTTTCTATTGTTGTCATAGCTGAATTTGAATGTGCTACTTATGTAAACAATTTATAGATTTTTTTTATAAAAACTGTGAATTCTTGATGCCATAATCATTGTTATTATCATATTTTGTATAATGTCTAGTTTTTTTACAATTTGTCACATTGTAGTCCCTAAACTTAGTCACCTGTAGTGTTCTTTGTTACACGTGTTGTAATTGTCTCCTAGCCACGTGTTTAAACTATTTTCTAACTACGTAAACTGTACCTCGACTGATCAACACTTTGTATAAAAAAATGTTTTAAACCTCAGAAATTTGGACTCTACACATTATTTCGAACTATTTTCAAAACTGTGTTCAGATTATAACCAAGATTTATTTTTAATTATAATTTTTTTCTATTCTTTCATGGAATTCGTAGAATAATGTTTAACATTTGTGTTCTCTATAAGTATTGTTGAGAACGTGATCAGAAACTAAAAAAAAATTGAATATTCGTTTTCCGGCCAATTATTCTGAACCTCCCAACCCTCCTTTCAAATCTTGCTCCCCCCCCCTTGGACTGTCCTCCGGGTTATTTTTTTTAACGTTTTGGAAAACTAGAGTCGGAGCTTTTATTCATGTTTTATTTTGAATTTGTTAAAGAACATTTTTTTACATACAGAAAATTTTCAGATTTACCAATTTTTTACTCATATTTTTCTAGGACTTTAATAAACTAATTTCGCCGGTGTGCTTGATAATATTAAAAATATAGTATTTATGAAAATTAATAAAAGGTAGAAAACAACATTTAGCTTTTTATTAAGTTACAATTAATATTACTTCTGAAAGAGAGAATAATACAGTTAAAGAAACTGTCATGTTAGCGTAGTTTCAAGTGATCCTCCATGCAGAAATGAAAATGTCCGATTTGCAACGGTATCCTTGAAACCTTAATCTGATCAATCAATCAAAATCAAGAAGATATTTTAGTTTTGCGATGTTTTAAAATATTTAACTCTTAATTCCTGAAGTGGAAATGCGAGATTCACTTTTGTACAGAACTCACAATTGAAAATATCAAGTTTTCTTCATTAGAAATATGGATACACATCGATTAGCTATAATTCATTATTTTATCAAAGCTTTAAAGAAAAGCGATGTTGGATCTAGACAAAAACAAACGTTTACGATATAGGTGAAGTAATTCTTATTCAATCAAAAGGAACTGACTTATTGCATCAACCATTAATTTTCTAATCAAAATAGCTTTGCAATCTGACTGAAAATAACTTAAAATTTCAAACTTTAAATTATGATAGAGCGAGAAATAAAAATAAAAAACAGGTTTAGACTACAAGAATATGAATAAGGAAATAACAGTTTAAGTCGAATTATCAGTTTTTTTTTTAAATACAGCTAACAGATTCATCTATTTAAAATATTTTTTTTAGATTTCATTGTTACTCTTACAAACTAAACATTCAATAAAACTTTAATTACATTAAAACCATACAAGCTACTTTGCATAAAATCTAAAATGATATTGTAGCCTAGCAAAATAAGATTGCATTTAATGGAATTAAGTCTTTGCCACAAACTCAAATATTCTAATCTCTATATCTCTACAACCGTTCTCAGTAATCCTTTCATATTTCAGTTACTTAAATAATTTGATTTAACAGAATTCATAGTGTGAAATATCTAAGGTCTATACGATATTGGATTCGAAGATATAGGGATTAGAAAATCAGAGTTTGTGGCAAAGACTCAAATCCTTCTACTGACGAATAACTAAAATTTTTATGAAAGAACCCTCACAAATTAATTTGCAACCAAACCTCATAAACTAATATTACAATGAAACCTATGAAACCGAGTTTGTTATGCAAACTTAGAAAATAAATTGAAACTTCACAAAAGAAATTGTTATTATTTGTCATCGATAATTTAAAGAATTATGTTACGGATACGGGATAACTTATATTTAATATCAAATCTCTTTCCCTCTGTTATTATTCATCATCTTTGTTCCAAGGATTTGCATAAAAGCCTTGAATGATATCATAATATGTCATAGTTCTGGTATTTTGTTTATATAACCCTGCCAGGTTCAACCCCATACAGTAGACAAGACAAGATCAATTCAACCAAATATGGATATCCCAAGCTTTAATATGGAATCTGTTTTCAGCCAGAGCAAAAACTTTGCAAAAAGTCGTGTCTCACGCAGATCAAAACTGTCGGAGTCAATTTCATCAAACACAGTCATACGGAATGCTAAATTTCAATTTTTCTTTTATTGTTAATTCAAATCATAATAATAATCAATGAAGTCAGAGCTTTTTTATTTTGAATATCGTTATCAAGCAATAATGTTCATTTTATGCAGAGCTAACTTATGTCTTATTCAATATTCCGTGGAGGTCCCACCCTTCAGAAATAAGGCAAATATATAGAGATCAATCATCATCAAAATTAAAAGTGCACAAATAGGATATCGAGACTAAGCATTCATTACTCTACCCCAATGGTTAACCTAAACACAATATATCAAATAAGCTCCTTTTTAATTAGTAAACACGGTAAATCTGGTGTTTAACAACAAAAATCATGGATTTTTGCTATTTTTTTTTCATTTTCAACTGTACAAAATAAACTGTAAAATAGAAATCAAGAAGAAGATAGGAAGTGTAACAGAAAGTGCAAGTGTTGACTATTATGGGCTGAAAGTCCTTAGATGCAACGCAACGCCCTAACTCCATATATGATTATTATACTTCTTTTTATGGTTTGGAGGGTTTCTTCTTCTTGTTCTGTATAGAGTGGTGTAGCCTGACTCGAGGAGAATTGGATTGTTTCAACTATTTACATAACTGTTTGGTCTGCTGTGTTGTCCAGGGTTCAACCATATATGGATTATGGGGGGGGGGGGGAGTGCACTTTTTTGCTTAAAATGTAAAAGGTATTTCCCGTTTAAAGAAAGTTGTTTTACAAATACATCATACATAATCAAATATTGGCATAGTCAGAGATATGTATTTGCACAGATTGGTTACACAGCAATTCTACGTACGCTGTAGTGTTAAACTCTATAAATGTGAATAGGCCGTTTAAAAACAATTTTGTTCGCGCAAATTTTATGGTGTGTCTTCCTGCTTAGTTTATTAAAATTTAGATTTTTTAACACGGGAAGTTGAGCCCCAAAATATTTTCCAATGAAGAAAGTAGAATCCTAAGATTTCTAATAAAAGAATTGAGCCCTTAGATTTCCCTTAGATTTGTTAATAAAGGAAGTTGAGTCCCAAAATTTGTTGATAGAGGAAGATGAGCCCCAAAGTTTCATAATAAAGAAAGTTGAGCCCCAAGATTTCATAATAAAGAAAGTTGAGCCCCAAGATTTCATAATAAAGAAAGTTGAGCCCCAAGATTTCATAATAGAGAAAGTTGAGACCCAAGATTTCATAATAAAGAAAGTTGAGCCTCAAGATTTCATAATAAAGAAAGTTGAGCCTCAAGATTTCATAATATAGGAAGTTGAGACCCAAGATTTCATAATAAAGAAAGTTGAGCCTCAAGATTTCATAATAGAGGAAGTTGAGCCCCAAGATTTCATAATAAAAAAATTGAGACCCAAGATTCCATAATAAAGAAAGTTGAGCCTCAAAATTTCATCATAAAGGAAGTTGAGCATCAAGATTTCATAAAAAAGAAAGTTGAGCCTCAAGATTTCATAATAAAGCAAATTGAGTCTCAATATTTGATAA